CAGTTTAAATTTTTGGTAAAAAAAAAATCAACATAATTTACAAGTAATACAAAATAAAAGGCCAAGTCTAATAATTTCTTTACATCATAATAGAATATCAGCAAGATCTGATGTAATAAACTTTCATATTATTTATAGCGTTACATTATTTTGTAATTACAAGGTTGTATTTTTTTTACTTTTTTAGTACTTTATTTAATATTCTTATTACATAATATTTATATACGTTGCATTTATATTAAAAAATTGCAATATCATATTTTTTCAGAAGTCAAAATAAAGTTATTTTTTTTAACAAATTCGCTATGTCTTTATTTTATAATCAGTTATTTCAAGTTAAATTTTAGTATGCTTTTATGAATATTTTTCGTTTTGCAACAGTTGAAACAAGTTATATTACGTCACGATGCAGGAGAGTTAAGACTGTTGGCCATCCAATTGATACTAGTCCCCTCACAATTTTGACGAGCTTTCCACCTTACACTTGTAGATTAATGAGACAATTTTAGAAATTGGAAGTAGTTACATTTTTTCGGGCTATGATTATGTTATATAATAATTACGTAATCTTTTTCCTCGTATATATGTATACAAGTTAATGTATGCTTATGTTATTTATGGTTTATATAGCGATGAATTTTCATGCATTTCAAATGGTCGTGAGATTAAGCTGTACAATAGATAATACTCTTCCATTAAGTCGTACCTGGACGATCTCCACAATTTTTTTCATTGCAACATACATTGCTCTTGTTAAAGATTATTTTTAAATAGATTACAGTTTAAGCTTTAAATATCTATTTTGAATGTTTTTCAAAGATTATACTAAATATATATATTAATATCATAATTACCTTAACATTATCACACAAATTTAATAGTCTTTTATCTGTGTTTTGACCGAAATTTATTCATAATAATTTTATTTTTATGTATAATATTTGTAATACAGTATATTAATTTTGATTACAAGATACATTTTGATACAGCTCTTAAACGTGTCTATAATTTTATATTTTATTTTTTTGTACAGGATTTTCATTTAGATGTTATATCGTATTACGATACAAGATGTTCCTAAAATGTTCAATTTCACCAAATTCTATTTTATTGATTTTATCAGATTTTGTTTTAATTATATTCTTTTTGTACTGATAAGAGAACTATTAAATCCGAACAATATTAGAGAATATAATGTGTCGAAATACTTTAGATAAGAACTCTGTATAAGATATAGAATATATTCAGATTTCAGCAGAAGTGCGAATTTTATTCGTTCGCATTTACACATGCATTTTTAATTATGCTAAAGTGTAAGCTTTATAATACATCTATTATCTCTATCAACTTATACTTATGCATAACGATAATATTACTCCATTATATCTTTCATCCGTTTTCAATTTAGCCATTACTAATCAATCAACGTAACACAAATTCATCGCATGACAAACATATTTGAAGAAAAAAAACCTATTTTTTGTAATACAGTGATTCTAAGAATTAAATAAATTAGATTGCATAGTTTTACAATCTAATAAAAAATTTAATTAAATTTATTTAATTCATTTAATAGATTATATGTATAAGTCTTCTCCAAAAAAATATATTTATAAAATAAATTATTTGATAGAATCACTGCGTCGCAATTGAAAATGTGTGTTTCTATTCATTACTTTATTAAGGGAAAATAATGGAATGTCTTACCTCGATCGTTATCTTATCAAACTGATGAAAATAACAATTTTTTCTAAAACACATTGAATTCCTACAAGGACAATCCTCCATATAAAACAACAGACAATAAATGATCAAGGGAATTCGATAAATAATCCAATAAAATCGGAAGACTCATGAATTTAAGGAAAAGAAAAAAAATTGCTAGGGTAGATAAAATATTTTTATATGGATTCTCAATCACACGACTAAATTTCATTCGACGAATTGTTTCGCACATATTGTACCATTTAGATTTTAAGCAAACTATTAAAAATATTCACGCATTAGTATTCAATATTAATAAGATTTAAATATGCATTCATTTCCACATAAAAATAATACAAATCTTTAATAATTAATCTAAATAAGTTGATTCATACATTGTTGCTTTATCAGCAGTTTTGTCATTTCTATGTTGGAATGTATGCACAATATATCAACTAAATATATGCATACGTAGGGTGATTAAAAATTGCAACTCTCTTGATTATAAATATATATTAAATTATTCAAATTTTTTCTCGAATATTGTAAAAATTCAATCCTATCGCGTTTGAATTCTTTAAAAAATTTAATTTTTAGAAAAAAGTTTAATTTTATGAATTAAGTTAATTGAGTTCATATATTATTTTTATAATCTACTAATTTTTTTTCAGAAAACAAACTTTTAACATTACTTTTGTGCATTATTTTAGTACAGTTTTATTCGATATTTGAAGAACTATTTTTTTTTCATCCGAATAAAATATGAATTCTGATAAACCCTACATATGTAAGGACTTGTAAGATAAGAAATATATGGTTGCGTTTTATGAATAAGTAGATTTATGGAAAACAGTTTGAACATTCAATTTATTGTAGAAAGAACGTTAAATAAATGAATAAGGATTAACTATCCCCGTTAACAAATAATTAATATTATACTATGTAACAACAAATTACAGTAATATTCTTCATTACATATTTTTTTGTATAGGATGGATGTTAATAAGTCGATCAAGTTTTCCTTAAAAATAGATGTTATTTCGTTCCAGTATTATTAGTATAGTATACAATTATTATTTAAATAACAAACATATTGGAGCAAGAAGAGGGCCACATAAGCGTCAAGCATATAGTACAACATATATATATACTTTGTGTCAATGCGAGAATTTACATTACGTAAACCTTTTCAATTTTTTTATATGGAAATACTTCTTTGGTCTTTGGGCAGATCACAGTGCCGTTATTTTCTTGAGCCATTTTTTCCAACGCCTACAACAAAAAATATAATTACGAACATTGGAAAAGGTACAATCATATAATAATATATCATAATAAATATACAAAATATTTTACCTTATAATCTCTCCGAAAGAAACATATCATAAGGTAAAATTTTGTATATTTAAGATATATTATTAAAATTAATTTTTATCATATATACACATATACATAATGCATGCGTAATCTTCCTTGTATATAATATAATTTAATATTATAATAAAATAATACTTTTTTATATTTAAAATTATTGCTGTATTTTATATTAATCATATCATCTTTACACATACATTATATATTTTACTAACATTATTCTTTAAAATATTAATATTCTAAGAGTTATAATATTATAAATTATTTAATTTATAAATATTTTAATAATTTAACTTACTTGTTCACCATACACATATCCATTCGGCATCATCATAGGCTGATTGTATTCGTTTAGTGGTTTCCCACTTATGCTACAAACAAGTCGCGATTGCGAACAATGAGCGAAAGGCAATGGCGCGGCTAATTCATTTAACGCTTCGTTGCAAACTGGACAACTAGGATTTCGACCTTCCTTATTCGCGCTGTAACATTGGGGAGTTTTGAGAGCCGACAAGCCAGCTTGCAGAGCTACCGTGAATACGCTCTGACTTGCTAACTGAAACAATCTGTAGTTTTCCTGTCGAAATGTCTCGATCAATTTATCCCATCTATAAAAAAATTCTTATGAATTATTGATTTATATAAATTAAATGAACTACAATTTTCATATCATAAAGTTTTGCAATAACTTTGTAACTCTGTTTATAAATGACCAATATAAATAATACAATTGTGAACCTTTTTTCATCCAGTAAATCCTTATAGGGACTCAAGTATGCGTGAGCCGGGAAGGCTAACTGGCCCATGCAGCATTGAATCTCCTGTAGCTGATAATCGTCGTAGTTGGCGAAGTATTTGCGAGCATGCTTCACTGCATCAAGCCGCCTGTCGGTTCGCACTAATTCGATAAATTCT